GGCCGCCCTTCGGGTTTGATCACTGCTCCTTATCAATCCCACCAGCCCTTTGGGCGTGAGTGGTTTAGGGAGCCCGCTCTGTTCTCAACCCCCCTTCTTCCCCTTCGGGGAGGGGTTTACCCCTCCCCCTACCCCCTCCCCCTGGGCCTGGAGAGGGCGCCCCGCGGGTCGTTTGAGGGGTCTTTTTCGACTCCTGGGAGGGCTAAAAAAACGACGACCCTCACGAGGATTCTGGCCCCGACGGGGGGGCACCGTCTGGTCCCCCTCCTCTTCTTTAAAGCCAGAATCATTGATTGTACTACGGTTTTGGCCCCATTTTGGCGTCCTGAGGGGGCCGCGCTCATCTTCCTTCACAGCAAAATCATTGATTTTACGAAGGTTTTCGGCTCATTTTGTCCTTCTCAGGGGGCAGCTCTCATTTGCGCTTTTGAGGAGGTCGCAAGAGGCCCCAAGATGGCCCCAAGAGGCCCCCAGGAGGCTCCCAAGAGGCCTCCAAGAGGCCCCCAAGAGGCCCCCAAGCGGCCCCAAGAGGCCCCCAAGAGGCCCCCAAGAGGCCCCCAAGAGGCCCCAAGAGGCCCCAAGAGGCCCCCAAGAGGCCCCAAGAGGCTGAGAAGCACCGCAGGAACTCGCATGCTTTCGAACACTACTGCTCGAGACCGCAGCTGGAGAGCGGCAGACCGCAGGCTGAGAAGCACCGCGGGCAGGGAGACTTGCAAAACTCAGATGTCCTGATCGTCTTGGAGGAAGTCACGCCAGTCCGGCGGCTGCCAAGAATCGATGATGCGCCTGGAGCCACCGCCCGTGCTGCCGCCGATGTCCAGGTAGTCGCCATCGGCCCTGAACAGACGGCCGTGCCCCAACGCCAGAATCGCTTGGTTGCGGATTTGAAGCAGCTCTCCGCTCTCAAACATCTGCAACACGTCCAGCTGCCTGCGCGTGAAGTTCGGCTTTGGCTGGCCAGCCTGGGCAGACAGATGGCGGGAAAGCCGCTCCCCCTCGTTGTAGCGCGCGATGGCCTCGGCCTTCTGGTGGCGCAGCCGGCGCCGCTGTTGCCGCAGAGCTTCCTCGGGAACTGCTGCATCACGGCCCTCACTGTGATCAGCTTGCAACGCTTGCGTTAGCCAATCAACGTCGAAGCGCCCTGAGAAGGCCAGCACCTCCCAGATCTGTTTGGTACCGGCCACACGTTGCAAATGGCGATGCCACCGCTTACGCTTCTGGTCTTTCACAAACTTGGCGACGCTACCCAGACCTGCACCCTTGGCCTGGCCACCTTTTCCCGCAGGCTGAGAAGCACCGTGAGAACCTTTCTTACCGCCTGGCCCTTTGTTAGGACCCTGCGGAACCGCATGGCCCCCTTGTGGCGCAGACTTGCCTCTCGCTTTTCCCTTTTCGACATCCCGTTCCTGAAGCGCACGCTGCTGCCGCGACTGCTCGTACTGGTCGCGAGCTACTCTGACCAATTCCTGGCGCTCAGGCTCCGTGAGAACGTAGCGCATGTCGTCGATGTTCTTGCTCCGCAGAAAGTCATGTCGAAGCTTAAGGACAGAGAGAATGGCTCGGCCAGTCTCCTCCTGAGACGCAAAGGCCGTGTCATATTCCGAGCCAGGCTGAGGAGCGCCAGCTGGATCAGTGTCCGCTGGCTCCGTGGACTTCCTCTTTTTGAAAAGCAAGAGACTGAGATGATGGAGGACTTTCGGATCGTACTCCTCGTCGTACCTTTCGTCCCAAAGCTGCCTCAGCTCCCTGTGCAAGTCGTTCGCGCGATTCTGAACGACATCCTCGACGTAGTCGGGATCACCCGGTGAAGTCGGTGAAAGCGGAGGAGTAGAACTCGGCGACCGATCCCAATGCACAGAAGACTCGGCGTCCGCCTGTACGCTGACGTCGGCGTCGGAGACGTTTTCGACGACAATCTTCCGCCTCTTGCTCTCCCCAGGCTGAATAGCACCAGGGAGAGTGAGCACAACCGCCACCGCATCGTGTGCGTCGTTGCGCATGCCACGATCCGTAAAAGACGCGCCAACGGCAATGGAGCAGAAACGGGCGACTGCTCCGCAGACCGCGACGTGGTCGCCTTTGAGGTCGGCCGGAGTGGCATGGACCTCCCAGAGCTTCTCGTCGTTCTGCTGGCGCTGGTAAGCCTCCCGCGCCTCCTGGAAAGTCAGGTTGTCGTCGCCGACTACAAGCAGAACGACTGGCACGTGCGGCTCCGAAGCATTGAGAATCTGAGCCATGCAGTCCAGGTGCAAGCGGAGATGGCGAACTGTCCGCTTTCGAGTCTGGATGGTCGGCGGTTTCTTGCCGCACACGATGTGCATGTTGGCGATCACCACGTGGAACTTGTCATGGCCTGGTTTGTTCACCTCAAAATGTGAAATAACAGCATCAATCTCTCGGCCGCTAGGAGGCCTGTAAACTTTGCTGTCTTCGCACAGAGTCAGTTCCGCAGGCTGAGAAGCACCGCGGAACCCCCAGAGAGTCAAGTAGTTGTCGACCTCCGAGAAGCGAATGCCATCACCGAAAGGCTTACTGAGGATCTCTGTCACGTTGATCCCTGCTCGGCGAAAGCCTTCACGGAACGCACCGACCTCGCAGCCACAGACCATATCAGCATCAGCGGTCTCCACTATCGTGGCGCACACCCTTCCGAAGTTAGCGCAGTGAGTGGCCGCCTGCTTACCAGTCATCATGCCCTGCTCGAACCCGAAATTGAACGAGGCGACCGTGAAAGACGCAGGCTGCACAGCGCCAGAACCAGGCGTCTGTCCACCTTCCTCCGCAGGCTGAGAAGCACCGCGAGGCGGCGCAGGCTGAGAAGCACCGCGAGGCGGCGACACTTCGGACGAGCCTCGCGGAGCAGAGGCTGCGGATGAACGTTGGACATGGGGGTACGGCCAGGGGAACGCCATTGCAATCGAAACTCAGTGGACTGCAGTGAATGAATGCAGTGGCACGATTGAATGCAGTGGACTGCAGTGTCACTAGCAAGTCCTGAACCAAACACGGCTGTGGCGGAAGGATTATGAAGCGTCTGGCTATTCAAAATGTGGCCCGGGAATGGAGTTCTGGGAACTCGAAGACCAGGAAGTGGACTAGAGTTGGCTCCGGGCATCCAAAATGTGGCCCAGGAATGGAGTTCTGGGAACTCGAAGAGCACGAAGTGTGTGACTGTTGCATCCGGCCCTCCGCGATGTGTAGAAGCATATCTGAAAGCATTCCCCTTAAGATTCAGATGAAAATCCAGTTGTCGAATTCTGCTGTTCTCGCAGTCGTAGTCGCATTCGCGATGACAGTCGCAGCGGCAACGGCAGTCGCAGTCACAGCCTCAGCCTCAGCCTGCCTCCTCCTCTCCTCCTCTTTCTCCTGCTCCTCCTCCTCCTCCTCCTCCTCCTCCTCCTGCTCGTCCTCGTTCTCGTCCTCCTCGTCTTGCTCGTCCTCCTCCTCCTGGTGCTCTCTCCTCCTCCTCCTCCTCCTCCTCCTCCTCCTCCTCCTCCTCCTCCTGGTGGTCCTCCTCCTCCTCCTCCTCCTCCTCCTCCTCCTCCTCCTCCTCCTGGTCCTCCTCCTCCTCCTCGGTCTCCTCTCGTTCTCGTCCTCCTCGTCCTTGCTCGTCCTCCTCCTCCTCCTCCTCCTCTCTCCTCCTCCTCCTCCTCCTCCTCCTCCTCCTCCTCCTCCTCCTCCTCCTCCTCCTCCTCCTCCTCCTCCTCCTCCTCCTCCTCCTCCTGGTGGTCCTCGTTCTCCTCCTCCTGGTACTCTCCCCCCCCTCCTCCTCCTCCTCCTCCTCGTCCTCGTCCTCCTCCTCCTCCTCCTCCTCTTCCTCCTCCTCCTCCTCCTCCTCCTCCTCCTCCTCCTCCTCCTCCTCCTGGTACTCCTCCCCCTCCCCTCCTCCTCCTCCTCCTCCTCCTCCCTGGTCGTCCTCCTCCTCCTGGTCGTCCTCCTCCTCCTGCTCGTCCTCCTCCTCCTCCTGCTCGTCCTTCTTCTCCTGCTCCTCCTGCTCCTCGTCCTGCTCCTGCTCGTCCTCGTCCTCCTGGTCTTGCTCGTCCTCCTCCTCGTCGTGCTCTTGCCCCTGCTGAAAATGTGGCCCAGGAATGGGAGTTCTGGGAAGTCGAAGAGCACGAAGTTGCCTACAGTTGGCTACGGGCATTCAAAATGTGGCCCGGGAATGGAGTTCTGGGAACTCGAAGAGCACGAAGTGGCCTACAGTTGGCTCCGGGCATTCAAAATGTGGCCCGGGAATGGAGTTCTGGGAACTCGAAGAGCACGAAGTGGCCTACAGTTGGCTCCGGGCATCCAAAATGTGGCCCGGGAATGGAATTCTGGGAACTCGAAGAGCACGAAGTGTGTGACTGTTGCATCCGGTTATTCTAAATGTGGCCCGGGAATGGCGTTCTGGGATGTCGATGAGCACGAAGTGTGTGACTGTTGCATCCGGTTATTCAGAATGTGGCCCGGGAATGGCGTTCTGGGATCTCGAAGAGCACTTTGTGTGTGACTGTTGCATCCGGGTATTCAGAATGTGGCCTGGGAATGGAGTTCTGGGAAGGCGAAGAGCACGAAGTGTGTGACTGTTGGTGAAAAACGAGCCCGGCACCTGCCGCCCGGCAACTCCCAACACCTGCCCGGACCCCCCTGTGGAGTGATCTGCTGCTCTCTTTTGATCCCACTAGAAACCTATCAGTCTTCGCTGTTAGGTAAAAAGCAGGGGGAGGCGGTGATTCGCCGTAGGCGTCTTCGATCAGATATCTAGTTGCACACTCGTCGTCGATCAACACTCGCGAGTTCGCGCGCACCCGACTGCGACCTCCAGGCCACACGCTGCCTGATCCACAACCTCGTCTGAGGACCACCTGCACTGTCGATCAAGGAAGACAAAGCGACACGCTGAATGAGAACAACGTTTGTGCCCTCCCGTTCCAGCAATGAATCGGTACTCGCGCGTCGCGGCATTCCTGCCCATGCCCTGCGCCTGCCACGCTACACCCTAGGTCGAGAAGAGGTGCCTGGCTGAACGTCTGCTGCGCTGGCCCGCTTGAACATGGCGAGGCGTCCCTACGCCACTGAAAAGACGAACACAGGGGATGAGCACTCGGCTTCCCAAGCGTCTGCCAACAAGGCGCTACGGACGGAAATCGGCGGTACAGACACACGGCAGCATGTATGAGGACGGAGCGGAGAAAGAAGAACAGGGGCGCAGAAAGGCGAGAGCGAACACGAATATGCACATTGCAAACTAGCGCAGCACGGCTACATGAGGACAGGGGTCTTCTAGGGCATGGGGAGCACGTGAACGCAGAAGGCCGAATAATGGCAACGCCTTGCGATAGCACACGACTAAAACTAGCCATAACGCTTCTGAACAAAATACTAAACATTTGTACATCTTCTAGATCAAAACGTTCGAGATGACCCATGAGTTGCCCAATGTACTCCCAAGACAGTCCCAAACCTTCTTAAGACGGGCCCCAGGGAATCCCTGAGAGCCAAAAGGAGAACCGCGATCAAGCCCCAGGAACAGGACTGGGAGTCCGTCTTCTCCCAAGAGTCCCACCATCGCTCTGGGCGTAGGATCTCTCTCCCTAAGGATCTCTCTCCCTACACTCTCCCCTGGACCTCGCCGCGCACCCGGCAATACCCTGCAAAGGGGGGTGCAAAGAATCCGCGCGGACCCTGCAATACCCTGCAATACCCTGCAAACGGGACCCTTGCAATACCCTGCAATACCCTGCAAAACGTCCCTGCAAAACCCTGCAATACACTGCAAACGACCCTGCAATACCCTGCAAGACGACCTTGCAATACCCTGCAATACCCTGCAATACCCTCTCCCTACCCTGTCCCCGGGATCTCGCCGACCCCCCTGCAGTACCCTGCAAAGACTCCCCCCTTGCAAAGCCGATCCCACGACGAAGCCGATTCGACGACTCTGCAATACCATGGAAACCAGATCCCTGCCATACCATGCAAAACGACCCTGCAACACCCTGAAAACGACCCTGCAATACCATGCAAAACGCCCCCGCAATATCCTGCAATACCCTCCAAACCAGACCCCTGCCATACCCTGCAGAACGACCTTGCAAAAACCTGCAACACCCTGCAGACGACCCTGCAATACCCTGAAAACAACCCTGCAATACCTTGTAACACCCTGCAAAACCAAACCCCTTGTCATACCCTGCAAAACCTTGCAAGACGTCCCTGCGACATTCTGCAAAACCCTGCAAACCACCCTGCAATACCCTGCAAAACAACCATGCAATAGCTTGCAATAGCCTGCAAACCAGACCCCTGCCACACCGTGCAAAACGGCCATGCGATACCCTGCAAGGCGACCTTCAATACCCTGCAAAGCGACCGCGCGCCCTCTGGACGGAGGCGGTCTTAAAGCGTTTCCCCTGCATGCTTTCTGGCAAGCCCCCTCCCTGCCCTGTAACCAGAATCTCGCCGACCCCCCTGCAGTACCCTGCAGAGACCTCCCCCTTGCAAGGCCGATTCCACGACAAAGCCGATTCCACGACTCTGCAATACCATGGAAACCAGACCCCTGCCATACCATGCAAAACGACCCTGCAACAAACTGCAAACGACCCTGCAATACCCTGCAAAACGACCCGGCAATATCCTGCAATACCCTGCGAACCTGACCCCTGCCATACCATGCGATACCATGCAAATCGAGCCTGCCGTACCCTGTGAAACTCTGCAAACGACCCTGCCATACATTGCAATGCCCAGAAAAACGAACGCGCGCCCTCGGGGCGGATGCGGTCAAAGCGTTTCCCCTGCATCTGTCCCGACAGACCCGTCACCCTACCTTGTCCCAAGGACATGAACGCCCGCGACCTGCAACGCACCCCCCCCTGCAAAGACGATTCCACGTCCCTGCACGGCCTGACCATTGCCCAGCCCGCCGCTTCTCTATTTCTCCAAGCCCACTCCCTCCTAGCCATCCTCATCGTCACGCACTCCTCCACGTTTGCCCCGCCGAGCTTTCCTGCCAAGGAAAGAGAATCGGGCCTCTGCCCGCTCTGCCCCAGGTGGCAACATGCTTTATTTCTGTCGCCGCGCCAGTCCCCCAATCCCACCAGCCCTCTGGGCGTAGGCGGTCTAGAGAGTTTCCTCTTCCAACCCCCTTCTTCCCCTTCTGGGAGGGGTTTACCCCTCCCCCCACCCCCTCCTCTGGACCTGGACGGGCGAGCGGTCAGAGCGTCCAAGATGGCCCAAGACGGCTCCAAGAGGGCCTCTGAGAGCACAAGATGACCTCCAAGATGGCTCAAGATAGCCCGAGATGCCTCAAGATCGCTTTCAAGATGCTCCAACAGACCCAAGAAGACCCTAGAAGGGGACCACGAACCGAAAATTCTTGTTTTCCCCACGAGGCCCCCGGGAGGCCCCGAAGCCCCCAAGACCCCCATGAAGTCCAAAAGAGGCCCCAAAACAGCCCCCCCCCAGAGGCATCCAAACTGCCTCGGGCAGGCTTTCGAGAGGCTTCCTACGAGATCCCAACCAACATCCAACAGGCCTCTGAACCACAACCCAGGCACGGTGGCGAGATGGGCTAAAGGCCACTAAGTCCGCCGCCCCCTTTTGATTTATCAAAGGGGTGCCCAGCGTGCCAAACTATACGGTTTGGGTTTTGGTCTTTTTTCCAAAAGAACTCCCCCTGGGGCTTCGGCCCGTCCCGCCGGCCACCCGGAAAGGATCTCAAAACCTGGTTGCAAAGGTTTTCCCTGCTCCAGATGGCTCCAAGACGGCCCAAGATGGTCTCCAAGATGCCTCCAAGACGGCCAAGATGGCCTCCAAGACGGCGAAGATGGCTCCAAGATGCCTCCCAGACGAGTCAAGATTCATCCAAGACGGCCTAATATAGCCTCAAGATGGCCCCAGACGTCCCAAAAGGCCTCCAAGAACGCCAACGACGCGTCGAAGAGGTCCTCCAGGAAGGCCCGAAGAGGCCAAAATCATTGAATTTCCTTGGGTTGTTTAAAGATTTTGGGATGTGCGCCTCTTCGGCTTTCCGACGGCCCAAGACGGCCCAAGAGGTCCCCAAGATCGCCCCAAGATCGCCCAAGAGGCCTCCAAGATGGCCCCACGATGGCCCCAGAGGCCCCCAAGACGGGCCCAAGAGGGCCCCAAGACGGGCCAAGAGGCCTCCAAGACGCCCAAGATGGCCTCCAAGACGGCCCCGAAGCGCCCCAAGAGGGCCCCAAGTCGGCCCAGAGAGGCCCCCAAGACGGCTCCAGACGGCGTCAGACGTGCCAGGAACCCACCAAGATGGCCGAAGTTGGCTCGAAGCTGGCCCAAGACGGCCCAAGAGGCCTCCAAGAGGCCTCCAGGAAGGCCAGAAAAGGCCAAAAAACATGTGCTTCCTTTTAGATTTTGAAGAATTTGGGCATTTGCGTCTTTTCGGCCTTCAGACGGCCCGAGACGGCCCAAGAGCCCCCAAAGATCGCCCAAAGATCGCCCAAGAGGCCTCCAAGATGGTCCCAGAACGACCCAAGAGGCCCCCAAGACGGCCCAGGAGACCTTTAAGCCGCCCAAGATGGCCTCTAAGACGGCCCTGAAGCATTCCAAGAAGGCCCCAAGTCGGCCCAGAGAGGCCCCCCAAACGGCTTCCGACGGCGTCAGACGGACCAGGAGCCCACCAAGACGGCCGAACATGGCCCTAAGATGGCCCAAGACAGCCCAAGAGGCCTCCAAGAGAGCCTCCAGGGAGGCCAGAAAAGGCCAAAAACCGGTATTTCCTTTTAGATGTTGCGAGATTTTGGGCATTTGCTTCTGTTCGGCCTTCCGACGGCCCGAGACGGCCCAAGAGGTCCCCAAGATCGCCCCAAGATCGCCCAAGAGGCCTCCAAGATGGCCCCACGATGGCCCCAGAGGCCCCCAAGACGGCCCCAAGAGGGCCCCAAGACGGGCCAAGAGGCCTCTAAGACGCCCAAGATGGCCTCCAAGACGGCCCCGAAGCGCCCCAAGAGGGCCCCAAGTCGGCCCAGAGAGGCCCCCAAGACGGCTCCAGACGGCGTCAGACGTGCCAGGAACCCACCAAGATGGCCGAAGTTGGCTCGAAGCTGGCCCAAGACGGCCCAAGAGGCCTCCAAGAGGCCTCCAGGAAGGCCAGAAAAGGCCAAAAACACGTGTTTTTTCTTTTAGATTTTGAAGAATTGGGGCATTTGCTTCTTTTCGGCCTTCCAACGGCCCGAGACGGCCCAAGAGCCCCCAAAGATCGCACAAAGATCGCCCAAGAGGCCTCCAAGATGGCCCCAGAACGACCCAAGAGGCACCAAGACGGCCCAGGAGGCCTTGAAGACGCCCAAGAAGGCCTCCAAGACGGCCCTGGAGCATTCCAAGGGGGCCCCAAGTCGGCCCAAAGAGACCACCCAAACGGCTTCCGACGGCGTCAGACGGGCCAGGAGCCCACCAAGACGGTCGAAGATGGCCTTAAGACGGCCCAAGAGGCCTCCAAGAGGGCCCCCAGGAAGGCCCGAAAAGGACAAAATCATTGACTTCCCATGAGTTCTTGAAGGATCGTGGCATTTGCTTTTGTTCGGCCTTCCGACGGCCCGAGACGGCCCAAATGCCCCCAAAGATCGCCCAAGACGACCCCAAGAGGCCCCCAAGACGGCCTAAGAGGCCTCCAAAACGCTCAAGATGGCCTCCAAGGCGGCCCAAGAGCCCTCCAAGACGTCATCCAAGAAGGCCCGAAAGAGTCAAAATGACCTCCGGACGGCCAAGATGACCTGCAAGATGCCCACGTGTTCCCCGAAGGCTTTCCAAGCCGATTCGGGGAACACATGATCTGATAGCTTGGCAGGTCTGGCCTCAACGTTCGGCCACCCAGGCGCTTCCAAAAAGGCAGGGGGCGGCGGTGATTCGCCGTAGGCGTCTTCGATCCGCCGCCCCCTTTTGATTTATCAAAAGGGTGCCTGGCGTGCCGGATGATATGGCTTTTGGTTTTGGGTTTTTTTCCAAAGAACTCCCCCTGGTGCCTCGGCCCGTCCCGCCGGGGTCCCGGGAGATTCCCGAAATTCCGTCCGTCAACGCCTTTGTTGCCCCAAATTGGCCCAAGATGGACTCCCAGAAGGCCTAGATGGCCCAGGATGGCCTCCAAGATGCCTCCAAGACAGCAAGATGGTCTCCAAGACGTCTAAGATGGCTCCAAGATGCATCCAAGACGGCCCAAGATGGCCTCAAGATGGCCTGCGA